GGTTAATGCCTTGGTTAGATCACCTCTATCCCTTCGGATTTGGTCTCTGTGTCCCTACATTTGCTTCATTTATCCGATTTGCTTGCTCTCTCTTCGATAATTTGCGAAATTTGTGAAATTGCATTAGTACCGTGTTAAAGTCTTGAATAGATAGAAAAACGTTTTGAACTGTGTGACTCATGTGACTCACCCGTGACCCATGTGACCCGAAGCCATTTTTACACTGTGTGACCCATGTGACCCATGTGACCCGTGACTCAGTGGCATTTATAAAACACGGTCAAATCTCGATTTTAAAGTGTTAAAATGGATTATATGATGTTTTACAATGATAATATGGTATCTGCAAGTTAAATTCGTTAACAAAAGTAAGAGTTATATGAACATTAGTACAATTTGTTCATAAGTTGTCATGAAACACTAGTATCACTTATGAAATACATTTGCATGAGTGACTTGAATATGAAAATTGAAACGAACATGATTTTAAAGTTGTTATTGATGTTAATATCTATGATTAATCACTGCATAACCATGCGAAGTCACTAATTCGATAAATTCGACCTATGTGACCCATGTGACCCATGTGACTCACCCGTGACCCGTGACCCATGTGACCCGTGTGACCCGTGTGACCTGTGACTCATGTGACCCATGTGATCCATGTGACCCATTGGACTTATGTTTTTTCTTCTTTCTCATTTCCAAGTAAAAGTAAAAGTAAAATCCAAAATACGAAAGAGTTTACAAAAACTGAGTTTACAAATTATGAAAGAGTTCACAATAAATAACGGGTTAGTTATACACATTTTTACCATTACAAAATATATCGATAGCCAATTTTTTACGGATGAGTGGTATGGTCCCATCGCATATCGACATGAATTCTGTTCCCTTGTTCAAACCAGATATAAGTGCGTGCTCAATGAGGACTCCCGCAAGCGCCAAAATACGAAAGAGTTTACAAAAACTGAGTTTACAAACTACGAATGAGTTCACAATAAATAATAAGTTTACAAAATACGAAAGAGTTCACAATAATGGATTAGCGGTTAATGAGGACTCCCGCAAGCGCCATCTTTAACTGTGGTTCCCATTGTGCGTGGAATATATAGATGTTGGAACTGTGATTCTTTCTCGAAGTACATCCATTCATCCCGTGTTAATACTTCTTTAAGCGTCTATAGCATCTCATAGGGATAACACTTCATATTGATCTTCGAAAGAAAACTGAATGTCTTCGAATTTGTAGACAAATGGAAGCTGCAAAATAAAATAATTGTTCGTCATTATGATCTTTGTGACCTTGGACCTGTGACCCGTGACCCGTGTGACCCGTGATCCATGTGACCCGTGACTCGTGACCCGTGATCCGTATGACCTGTGTGCTCCTTGTGAGTCATATTATCTTGTTACCATATAAATCTATGTGACTCATATAACATGTGACCTACATGACCTTGCGACTTAGGAAAACATTAAACTTGCTAAGGTATTTCGAAATCCCACGTTCACACCCTAACTTTCTATTTCGAATTCCTAAAACCCAAATTATATATTTCAAAACAAAAAACCCTAACTTTATATTTAGAAATCTACTCTAATTTTCAATTTCGAAATCCCTAAACCCTAAATTCCTATTTTGAAATCCTAAAGTATCCAATAAGTTTAATAATTTTACTCAAGGATCAGGTCACAGAAGAAAAAAATGGAGAAGAATATGCAGAAAAACCTACCGTTTCTAATGGGAGATCGTTGTCCGACGATGACGAAGATGAACCGTTCTGAGACGCAGACGAAGATGAAGTAGAAGGCACATGTGTTCTTGGATCCATGGGTGTTTAATTTTTCATAGAAATCGCAAGAGAGATACCGAAATTATAAGGAAAATCGCCTCAGTTTCTGAAAATCATGAAAAAGAAATAGTAGTTCTTGAAATCGCACAAGAGAGAAAGAGAGTTTTCGAAATAATACAAGAGAGAGAGAGTTCAACAGAAGAGAGAGAGAGGGTGAGAGTTTATCGAGAGAAAGAGATGGGGGTTTCTTTTTTTTAAAAAAACTGTCCTTTTTTAATTGAAAAGGTATGGTCTTTTTTGTCTTTCCCTTAAAATCTAGGGTTATTTATGTCTTTAACTCATTTAAATTTTTCTTTTTTTTAGATTTAATTTTTGGAGGGTAGGGTGTGAAGTAAGGATAGCATTTTAAGGGTATATTTGCTATATCCCCTGTTAAAAGTGTTATATTAATTAATGTTTTTTCCCGTTGATTAAAATTAAGATTGATTTTGGTAAACCATTTAATGTTTGATATTTTTTAATTGATAATAATGATAATTTTAACTAATTAAACCATGGAAAATATTAACTTATAAAAGACTGAATTTCTCATGAGATTAAAGAACGATGCTAAGAATTTATCTATGAAAAATGTTGTCTTACCCCGTAATGGCCGACAGAAACCCCACAATGGCCGATTGGTAAATAAGTGATAAACGATGGGCATTTAGGCAGCAACGGGCTGACCGGTTTGTCTTGTTTCCTTCTCCGGACAAATGGTAGTGCCGACCCCGGTTATATCCTCCGTTACCGTTTACCGTCACCGTCCGTTTATCTTATCTTTTAACTACAATATCCATTTTCTCTCTTCTATACGGTGGAATGATTTAGGACCCATTAATAACGCCAAAAATGATCCACCATACCAACCCTTGGATTTGATAAAAAAAATTAACTTGCATTTTAATATGTATATGTACATATATAATTGAATTTCCCAAGTTCGCCCATGCTTATAAATTTTGGTATATAAGGTTATTATAGTAAAAAAACAATATAAAGGCTTGTAAACCATTCATATAATTGTATCATCGTGTATACCCACGACACCTACATGACCAGCACTAACCCTTGTTTGACACATTCAACAGATAAAAAAAATGAGAGGATGAAATTCTTTCGACCTTGATGTAATAATGGTCGTGACATGTTTATATGGTATGTTGTATTGTATTTATATGTTCATCTTTGCGCGTATTTATTGAAAGGTAGAAGAGAGATTATAAATTATTTTAGTCACATGAAAAGAAAAAAAAACCTTGTAAGTATTCACAATATATTTTACTCACCACATTCATCAAAATAATATAAATCCCCAAAAAACTTCAAAATTGAAAAAAAATATATTACAAACAATAATATTAAAAAAAACTTAAATCTAAGATGAAATATTTACCACTAATGTAAAACGGTACGAATGTATGATATATATATATGTATGTATTGGATTTGCTAATATTTATATCTTATCCAATACATTTGAAAATGTGTTGTCCCATATTGTGAATATCAAAATATCGTTATAAAATCTCATCAAAAGGCTTTCAATCTGTGGAAGAATCCAAGGATACGTTTTTTTAAACAGAAGCAACGGCTAGTGTTTTTTGTTGTCTTCTACATTATAATATATTATTAAAAGAATAACGACGATGTTTAACGGCGTTAAGAGAAGATAGCGGGGAATGGCGCCACCGTTACAATGAGGAACATAATCACATATGGGGACCAAGTCACATATCACCAAGGCGGCGTTTGCGCGTTCTTATTTCCAATTTGCCAGCTGTGTTCCCTGAACCAAAATTCATTCATACCAAACTAATATCTTATTTCAATTTATTTTTATAAAGAATAGCATAAAAAAACATGATGATAATATTTCTTTCTACATTTTTTTTTATTTTTTTTTATAATGTTATTTCTTTCTACATTATCATCAAAGAGGAAAAGTTTTTTTAATGGAATATTAAAGTGGAGGGGAAATAGATGAAGCTAAGCATTTTGAAAAGAGAGAGGCGAAAAAAAGAATGAGTGTTCTAACAACACCGAGAATCTTTTTTTTTTTTTCAAGGAAGACGTTTTAAGTTTTTTTTTATAGGATTGGGTACAGATCGAATACCTGATTTTTTGGGTAACCGGAGTTCGTCTTCATCTTTACGGGTTTTGAAAAGATATTATCTTGTTTTCAATTTTTGTGAAATCCGGATACCTGTAGTTCAGATACCCATCGTTATATTCGATTACAAGAGAGTATCTTGTTTTCAATCTGTTTAAATCTTTAGAAAACGTTGATTTGTGTTGATTTTAAGGATACTGTAATAATTTAATTTAAAAACATATTTAGTAATTATTGTAAATACATTAAAATAACAAAGATATA